ATTTAAAAAAAAAGTAGTCTGTCATCACCGTAGCGGAATGAATGGAAAAGTGAATGCGACCATTTTTTTTATAATTTCCATAACCGACCAAATAAACCCTACGTCCTGTTTACATTGCAGTAATTCATAAAAAATGGATCAAGACCTTGATCAATCCCATTTGACCACGAAGAGAGCGTGTCCGCTTTCGACTTCAATAGAATCATAGTGGCGTTTTGAATGCGTAGGGGTCTGCGCAATGACTTGCGCACTCCTTAACTGCGATTTACATTGTACAAGCCAGTGCTTTTATTATCCCGGACGAGTCTGACATACCAGCCAGTCGACTCCGGAAGGAAGAAAAGCTTAGTTGGCTCAGGCAAATATTCATGATTCGGTGTTCAAACGTGTGGTCATGCCTGTATGCTAGGGTACCACTTGCCACTAATCCATCTTTTATCCATTTCAGTATCATGCATATCCTACTTTATATAATTCGCTAAGTGTGTCTGTTGGTGTGTCGGTGTGTGTGTGTGTGTGTCGGTGTGTGTGTTTGATCGGAAATTCATAACTCCTGTTCCCATGGACCTAGAAAGCTCAAATTTGGTAGGAGGATAGGGGGCTGCATGGGAACACGTATGACAGGTGGCAGGACCGGGCTCCGCCTACAGGGGGCGCGGCGTGCGCGATAGAAGTTTTAGGTCGCAAATTCATAACTCCTCTCCCAGTGGACCCAAAGCGATCAAAATTGGCAGCAGTACAGAAGAGCGCATGGGAACACGTATGACAGGTGGCAGGACCGGACTCCGCCTACAGGGGGCGCGGTTTGTGCATTTGAGCGGAAATTCGTAACTTCTGTTTCTGTGGACCTAGAGAGTTTAAATATCTTAAGATTACAGCTTTTCGTATTGACAGTGGAATCTCGGCTTTTTAATAAGTAGTGTAGGATATGACGGGATCCTAGGTACTCGGTGACAAGAACCGATAATAATTGATAAAGGAAGATAAGGGGCCTAAGAGAGCAAGTGTCACCTGCCGATCGAAATCGTAACGCCTTCAGTAAGGTGACAAAAGGAGTGGTAAGTGCAGTTATAGGGACCCATTAGCGGCATTACGATAAGCAGATTAGAATTTTGTTCATTTCTTGCTTTTAGATTACGACCATTACACAGCAAAGTTTTTTACTTGCTGAAGGGTCCTCATAGTTCGATATCATTTGCGATAAAATTAACCGGCCGCCAGTTATTTTGAACTCTTAACTAATGTTATCTCTGTGAAGTAAAAGCTTCATTGATAACATCTGATAATGGTGTTATCATCACACGAAATATTTGTAAGTACCGCCCAAGGCTTTGGATACCCAATAGTTTAATATTTATTGGATATTCATCTTCAAGGACGAGAGCAAATGATCAAGACTCCCAATTAAAGACATAAGTACCGACTTTCACTGAATACCAATACCCTATAGTCCTGTGTCAAACTTCGTGTACAAGAAAACATTATTTGCTTCGAAGAAGGGGTGGAGAGTTAGCCGATTACTACAACTTTGTCAAAGGAGGGAAGCCCGGCATTAGCCGGGCGAACTGACTTCACATAAGAAGGAGGATGCCCGGCGATAGCCGGGCAATCCGACTTTAGTTATGACAAAGAAAAAATCGCTTCCCATTTGGAGCTAATACTGAGGGTGTAGAGCCTTCAAAGAAAAAGGAGAATCCGAAGAGTTAATTACGCATAGCAAATTTCTTACAGGAAGGGAGAACGCCCGGCGAAGCCGGGCGATACCGTAAGAAGGAGGAAAGCCCGGCGTTAGCCGGGCGGCCCCACTGGTAGAAGTATAACCATTCTAGTTTTTGATGCAGTCAACATTTCGCATTCAACTAGATCAATCTGTTAATTGGTTATCTTTTCAGGAGAAAAGTGGAGGACACGACGGAAGCTTCTCACACCCGCCTTTCATTTCAAGGTGCTGAATGACTTCCAAGAAGTACATGATACGCAAGCGAAGGTTTGGAAATCGAGAAAAAATGAGCTAACAACATTGTACTCAGATTATTAACTTCGTATTCTAGATACTTGTTAGTCAATTAGAAAATCTGTCTGAAAGTGGAAAGGAGTTCGACATCTTCCCCTACGTTAAACGATGTGCTCTCGATATTATCTGCGGTAGGTGTCGCAGGCTGTTGTCGATGAAAATGACCTTGAAGGTGGTTTAGGTGTGGTTATGGGCCTGCTAGAAGTTTAGACTCCTACTGCTTATGGTACGGCCAGTAATTATCTGAAACCTACTAGCCTGCAGATTCTCGTTTCGAAGGCAATTGCCAAATATAATGATCCACAAATGGGAAAGTGAAGTGGTGAAGGTGGTCAGCTAAACATCTTCATGTCGTGGATAGTGCTTTGAAATAAAAAGCTCCTAGTGTTACCTTCCGAGCGTAGCCAAGATTACCGCTATTCTTCAGTACCCCAACTGTTCTGCAGAATGAGACCATGAGTAGATATTCTTGAAAAAGATAGGGAAATAAGTGATATCTGTCCAGTTGTATCGGTTTTCAGAGACCGCTATGGGATGCAATATCTCTTCACAAGAAAATCACCAGCACCCTTACGTAGAGTCGGTTCGAAGACTCAGCGAACTTGCCTTCCTATACGAGCGCATGCCTTGGTTGTGGATTCCGGCAATTTGGTAAGTCCAGCTGTCACTGACCTATTCTACTTTTAAAAATGGGATTTATTAAAGGAAGAGTTGAAAGGGCCAATGGAAGTATCCTTCCTCCTACAAAAATAGCCTAATAAGCTTTTCAGATAACATCTTCATTAATCCTATGAGCGAAGCAAATCAGAAAACCACTAGAGCATTTGTTTACCGGTTCAGCTTACGATTGTTTCCTTTGGGATGCACTTGACTGAATTCAGATATACAAATGCATTTACGAGCAGTTGATACCGAGTAGGCTCAAGAGGATAGGGGATCAACTGTTTTTCCGATAACCAATAATGTTTCTGAAGGCGTCCTCCCAAAAAGCTAAGTCTCCCTCCAGAATCGTAGTGGGCGTTTGATTATGTGGCCCATACAACGACTTGCTAAGGAGTAGTGCGCAAGTCAGTGCCTTTATTCTCCTAGACGATTACGTGCCGAATAATCGACGATGGTATCCCATGAAAGGCCCGGTTGTCTGGGCGGATATCGATCTTAGAACTGACTCCGGTTCACTCGCGCGTAACAGCGCCCCACTTCCATCCATACTACCTCCACGTGTAAGAAGGTCTAGGTGATACTAATTTGAGTTAAATGTGAAATGGCACATCTTTCTATGAGACTTCTTTCCCAATACCTACAATCCTGCTCTTCATAGGTTCTGTCTGGTTTGTTTATACTCCACTGCTTGATAATGAGGTCAGGTGTTGAGCATACTAATGCACACTCCAAGATAGATATACATAGTTTCTAAGATTTCTGCATAGGATGGAGCTGTAACTCTCGACGATACTCTAACTAGGGAAGGGTTTCAACTTCCCATGGAACTTGGAATAGAGACCTAGGTGTATCGATAGGGCTTGGAAAGTCATTGAGAAATATGAAAGTTAAAACTGCAAAATGAGTCTACCAGAAAAGTTGTGAGCGTTCAAAGTTTGCATGGTTAAAGATGGAGACATAGTGCTGATTGTTAAGCCCAGCACCCCCGCACTTGCTACAACGGCCCCCGTGGCGTAGTGACAGTGTTCTCCCTCTCCAGATGAGAGGTTAGGGTTTGCTTCCCGTCGTCGTTTTTGCTTTTGCAAAACGTGCTTTCATTCGGATAAAAGTTTCTGAACCGTTTTTCTTACTAGTTTAAGTTGGCGCTTTGTTTCGGCTATCATCTACGATCACCTATCTATTGCCTATCACCGCACTTATTTAAAACTTCTCCACGTCATTTTTGGAACGCTCTTTCATTTTCAACATCGAAACACACATACCCATACTCGAAGGGAAATAGTTTAGGACGTGCGAGAAACGTCAACATCGACGAAGCAACCCAAAAAATGGGTAGAGAAAACGTGTAGATGGTGATGGTTGTAGAGACATCGCTTGTACAGATGAGGTTCGCATTTTGTGAACAGCATATCTGCTTCACTCATTTCTTTTATTGTTTCATCAATATTCAGTTTTTCACGCATATCTGTCTTAAGTGATTTGGGTTTCCCCCTCTACCTCAACAACTTTTAAATACGTGCGGTGATAGGTGATAGATAGGTGATCGCAAATGATGGCTGAATCAGAGCGTTAACCCAAATTAGTAAGAAAAACGGTTCAGGAGCTTTTATCCGGATGAATGCACGTTTTGCAAAAGCAAAAACGACGATGGAGTTTAGGGCAGTTTTAACTTCCATTTTTCTTAGTAATTTACAAGCCCTATCGATATATGTACCTAATTATCCATTCAAAATTCCATGTTAAGTTGGAACCCTTCCTGGAAATAGACGCTGTCTGGTTAAAGAACAGGCCGGGAGAGCGTAATAAGTGCCCCCAAAACCGAGTTGACCTACGTACGCACCCAAGGCGGACGAGTTGTTAAGCGTGGTAAAAGTTGTAGCGGTTGCAATGGGACACACACATTACGCACAAGCAGCGTACTGTAGCCAGCTGTATGCTATCACATACATATTTGCACATCTCGTGCAAACACTCCTTCCATGCAACTCTTGTGGTTACACTATCGCCTAACCTAATTTTACTACTTTTTGAGGCCCTATGTTTCTCTGAATATTCCGAATATCGCGTCTTCTTCGCCATTTTGCACTATTCTGGACTATCACTTCCATTATTCAATTTACAAGCTACCCCAAACTTATCGTAAATTATGCCTTTAAATCATCAACTGCATGAAAAGAACCAAGTTAATCAATGGCAAATAAAAATCACTAACGAGTGGTCTCAAGATTCGGATGTTTCTCTGATGTTTTTGCATTGTTTCATAGAAATTAGATCCTGAGCAATTTCTAATACTATCTGAGCTGTTACTCGAGAGGAGATAGTGTTGTATAAGAAGGCAAATGTTCGAAGATGATAAGAGGTACTTGATAGGGATTTCACCGAATCCGACACGCCTTCTGCAGCAAAGGCACGTCGGCCCACAACGACAAGTGATAATGGTGACCGAAGGACCACAACTATTGTCCATGAAATGAAGCGATAACAGCTGATAAAAATGGTTGGGGGTGCTGGAAAACAAGTGTCAATGAATTTGTATGCTTCTTGCCTCAATGACAGAGAGTTGGAATTGCCGAATAGTAAAATAACTCAAAGAATCTTTTTGTGGTAAGAGGCTGTATAGGTTGCATTAATCGCATACGAACGCAGTCAGCTTACTATGGCGCTGTACAC